CACTATTTGTGCAAGTAGCCACAAGCGAGTTATGAGTTTTTTTGGAAAATAAAAACAGAACAAAATTAAAAAAATGCAGAGCACAGCGCTGTCGTTAACTTGTTGAGAGGAGTTAAGTACATTGAATAGTTACTGAATATTGTTTGGAGGGGGGAATTTTCTCACCCCCCCCCCCCGTGTATCCGCGCCATCTCTTCCACATGTACCAAGTGAGGGAAAGCAATCCAAGTGCTAGTATGTAGTGCAAACCAAGTGGTATGTACCTTAATACTCATTTTCAGTCAAGTGGGCGACATGGAATTGGACGCATTGTTTTCTAAAATTTTGCAACAGTTTTTTTGGCTTTCTGCTTTTCCTAGAAGTATTTCACATTAAACACAAAGAAGACAGAAACGCGATTTCAATTTCGCTCATGGATTTCTAGAATTTGAATCATTTTAAGAGAAAGCTTTTTAATTTGAGAAGCATCGAAAATTCCAGCTTTTCAGTTTTTTCACTCTTAACGACTCCTCAGAAATGTTCGTAGTACGGTAATATACATATGGAAGGCCTAACTGACATTCCATCCCAACGTCTGTACTAATTTCTTATTCAAACCTATCTCGATAGCAAAGGAGGGCGGATAATTTTCTCTGAGCAACGTCTAAAGGTAAATTGATCAAATTGTTTTTTTTTTTTTCGCCTACAATTATATATTTTTCTTCAGATGCAACGTTTTTGTTTTCAAAACAATGTTCACTTTCGCTCTGCGGCTCTCCATCAAAATTAGACAAGCGCAAAACGTTCGTTGTGTAGCCACTTTGTTGACCAAGAAGCTTCATCTTAAAGATCAACACATATTGCGCACTTGATTGAATCAATTAATACTTAATAATAACTTAATAATATCAATTATGTGGTAAGAGACAACTCCATTACGGTGTGCACGATTGCAGTGCCTGTCGCACGATCACCTGTGCCTTTAAGAACATATTGATCCCTAATATATTCCGCCGGACATCAGCAAACGGTAGCGCAGAAATTGTAACCTAATAGATTCCCTAGAGGTGCGTAAGTGGTGGCGTAGATACAAATTTTAGCAATAGCTAATAGCAAATACTGTACAATAAAAAGAATGGGAAATTATAGTTTCTGTATTAAAATTAGAAACAAATTACATTAAAGTACTAATCTTACTGCCGTATTTTCATAAATTTCACCTTTTTTTCTTTTTCTTAAGGATTGGATATGAAAGAAAGCCCGGCAACCGCGGGGATTTTGCAATGACTCGTGAACAAAATGTCCAGAGTCGGAAAAGCAAGATCACTGCACAGCGGCGGAAACAGAACACGAAAAACTTTCTCTCAACACTGTAGCTTGTCGTCTGGGAATGTAGCACCTTAGGAAAATGTCCTGCGGGAAAAAAGAGTTTAAAGAATTAGACTTTTTTCACCAGAAACTCAATTCGTGTAAAAAAACGCTTAATAGAATGGTAAAAAGGTCCATGTTTGTTGAAATCCCTGATTTTTTCGAAAATTTGAAAAAAAAAAAATAGTTTTTGGCATCTTACTACAATTACAATAGGGGGCAGATACATATTTCCTATAATGCAATGTGTTCATCAAAACAGATTTTCATCACAAGGCCATGTTGACTTTTTCCAAAATAAGAGTAATTTTTTGTGTAATTTGACGTGCAAACAATAGTCGCCGCATTTGCTAATTTCCTAGATTCTTTGTGACGTAATATGACACGTGATTCCAGGCATGTTGGGTGCTATGTAAGTTTGTATTTGTATTTATTTCATATTTCTTTTGCTCCTTTTCTTACATTCTAACTTATGTATATATTTACGAATTAATCTTTAAAACTGCAGAAAAGCCTCTTTCTAAAGAAAATAAATTCATTTTGTTCCCGAAGAAAATTAAACATTAACACAAGAAATAACTAGGAGTGCTACAGATGGGAAACAACAGTAATTAGTTTCTCTATTTCCTTTTTGTCTTTTTAAGCTCTTCGATCATGCTCTTGCCGACTGTTTATCATCGCCGCACGAAAATAACATTTTTTTGAAGTTTCTTAATTTTTCGGTTCTAATTGTACAGCGAAACTTGTTATTTTAAGGTATTAATAGAACGGTTAAACATACATCCAACATGGCAAATTTCTTTGAAAAATTTGGAGCCCATCTTTAAAGCAATGGCGCCTTAAGTGCTACAGTATATTCCGGAATTTTAAAGTACTTTGCTGAAAAATTTTTGTGTCTTCGAAAAATTCATTAGAATAATTTAAAGAAAATAATTTACAATACAATAGTGTTACAAGTGGCTGGAAAATATGTATATTAACGGCGTGAGTGATATTTAAAAGATATGCATTTATCAATTTTTTTTTAAAAAAATAAAAAATACCCCGAAAATGAACTTTCCTCATTGTAAAAAAGTGCATTAGCAATTAATCCGTTATGAAAAATTTGAAGAAAAAATTGAGTCCGTTTTTGAAAAATGGCGTCGAGCGATTCTTCAGATTGTAAACTTTTGACAGAAAACGGTTTGTTTTTTTCAAGACGTTTTTGTAGCATTATTTAAAGGACATGTACTCTTAGATGCAAATAATGTGAGCAAATTTCTGCCATGTAACATTAGCGGACGTGAAGAGACACGTCCAAATACATTTACACAAATTCCATTACGAGAAACCAAAGTATAGAGCCAGTTTATATCATCTTTAGATGTATTTAGCACAATCCCTAACAAAAGTTTTAAAGAAAAAAATTGGAGTGGTTTTCTAGAAAAATTTTTTCTTTTTTGGGGGGGGGGGTTTTTTTTTGTAATTTTAAAAATTGCACAATTACACACATAATTGTGCGAAAACTAGCCAAACATTTTTCAAACAAATGACATGACATTATGAAAGAACAAATTATCGACAAACAATTTTTATTGAAGAACAAAAATCTCTATCATAATTTGTAGTTGTAGAAAAGATCAACCCAGAAAAATCAAAGTTTTGAAATTTTCGAAAATTCTGAATTACGTGAATATCGGACTATGCCACATTTTAAAGTACATTTAATTATATTCTTAATTAAGAGATTTAAAGAAAAAAATTGGGAAGCATTTTGAGAAAAATTTTGAATAATGTTCCAGGGGTTTTGTCACGTGAAGTACCCGCCCAAAACTAAGTCGCAAGAGTTTCGACTCAGGCAAATGGACAGGGGTTTCTTCAATTTCTGGGAAAAAATCTTCACATAGTTTAGGCGCTAGTGTTTGTTCACGTACATCGCAGACACACGGACGAGCCAGACAGACGAACGTTTTTGAAATAAACCACTTTTTGGTATCAAGGGGACCCTAAAAACGTGTATTTCTGTTGAATATATCGAAATAAATTCTTTCCGCAGCATTACATAACTTTCTCTATGGAACACCTAAGAGCTCAGAAATGGAGCTGCTAGTGGCGAAGTTACATTAATGAAATCAAAATGGGCTCTATGATGCCAGCACGGGTTCGGAGGGTTACTCATGCGAAAGTCCAGGTATCACGCCTTTCGGAGTTTAGCAGATGAAATTGAGCACGTCTTGGGAGAGTAACGACGCAGTAGTTATAAAATTTTTAGAATAAGCGTTCGTTTGTCGTACCAGACGATAGAAAGTAGCTAGTAGAAAAATAAACGAATTCAGGCATTGGATCACTGATGGCGCGTGGATTAGCGAGCTTCTGCGGACAGAAAACAGAAAGTTCGAAATTGGGCAGGAGTTATCTCTCCGGAGCCAAGCGTTTACGAAAGAATACGTCAGGGGAGTGTCATTGATCTCTTCTCTTTCTATCTATCGTCAAGATCTGTCCGCGCACTTTATCCTCAAATTTTGGCTATTTTAATATATCGGAATATAAATGATATCGTAGTATGCAATTCAAAAAGAAGATGAAGAAATGCCTAAGGAACTTGATACGTGAATTATCGGGCGAAAAATTAATGGATTGACATAAATAGCTTTCAAGAGGAAAATCCTTCACTTTTGGTAGGGGTAATAAGTTACATATAAAAAAAGAAACAATACCGTTTAAATAAGGACGATTCCGAGAGTCTCCTCGTGTACAGTACATAGGAACTCCACTTGATAGAAAATGTAGTTTTGAAAAAAAAAAACAAAACATTTTTTCGTTATCATGGGAACCGCGAACGCGTAATTTTTCGTTAAAATATCGAAATCGCTTTT